GTTGTATGTCTCCGCCCCTCCGACTATCGCGGAATGTTTTCACCTCCGAAAAAATGATGACAGTCATGACAACAGAACCGTAATCATTGACACATTATGGAACATCTCCTTCTTATATACATGTGTGCTGTGGAAGGATTCTCACCGCTTCAGGCGTGAATGCCGTCATTGGCTTCTTCTACCGAGCCGCAATGATGGGTGATATTTCGCCAATGGCATGGACGTATTTTGCCCTTTCTGTGCCTGTGTCGTCAATAGCCGGCCCTGTGGGCAGCTTCCTTGGATCGCATCTTCATAGACAGGTGAGATTTCATCAACAATAGCATTTGGTAGGAGCTATAGGTTGCCCTGTACTCCGTGAGGGAACGCCGCCCGAAATTTTCTCTGTTTTCAGGCTCCTTATAGCATTACCTATGGCTCTTGTGAATCCTAAAGTTTTCAGGTAATCGCTGGGTTCGTGTACATTCTTGAAATTGCTGCTTTGACCGGTTTCCTGTGCACGAAACCTACATGGCAACTGATTGCAGTGGGAGGTAGGTTCCGAGGCTAAAGGCCGGATACTTAGTGTGATCGATATATTGATTTTCAGGATGCATCATTTTTGGCGGCTTCGTCTTCTTCACGTTCATCTCTAAAGCAGGAGCGAATCTGATGGAGACCGTTGAAAAGAAGCAAGAGAAGGAACGGCGAGAGGCCGGAAATGTCTGATTGGCTGACGGAGCTTAAGCAGCCAGCGGCACTGATTGGTTGATCCGCACCTGGTGACGTCATAACGCGCACGCATGCATTGTTCTTCGTTTTTATTTGTTATCTCAATCATTACCTTTGACTGGTTCTGAATTGTATAGAATTTCTATTGTCTTTGTTATGATCTCTCAAATGAATATTGTCAACTGACTCTGTCAATTGATTACTTCTAAGAAATCGATTGCGAAATCGATCAATATCTGTCGCGCAAAGTTCAGCTTGAACAGCTCTCATCTGCATGGGCCACACCTTCGCGTAGTTCATCTGCTATCGCCAAGGACCAAGTTCATAAGCTCCTCTAACCAGGGAGGTCGTTCAGGACGTGGCGCGCTTTTTGAAAACGGTTTTTTGCATTATGTAGGGGCACGTTCATGGACTACCAAACTGACGTTCATTTTTCCTAAATGGCTCTTTGAATACCAAAAAAGGAGTGAAGAAGAATGTGTATGGAAAGCGATTGGTTTTGAGCCCCTCTGGGCTCCAAATCACTTGCAACTTTGACCAGTTGCTGAGTAGAGGGTCCTTATAAAGGCACTATAGGAATCGAGGAGGAAAATAGTCGCAAATGGGGTCTTACTTGCGGCACGTGATTGAGAGTGAACGGCTCTGAGCGGCTTGTCGGAATGGTTTCTTCAACGATCGGAGCGGTGTTCAGCTACAACGATCGGATGGCCTAGTGGATAGCGTGGAGGATTATCAATCGGACAGTGAGGGTGGGTGTTGATGGT